TGTGGCACCAATCAGATTTGCAAAAAATGCCATTATTTAAATTATTTTAAAACCTCTATATCTCAAAAAATACCAAAATGATACATCGTTTGTTGAACTTGACAATTTATCACCTGGCCTGAAACCAAGCTAAATTTGTTTACAAGGGTCTGTTTGAAAACTTAACTTTTATTGGTCTTGAATGAATGGAATCACAGCCGTATTTTTAAAAAGGGTAAGACTCAGAGCTTTCCAAACGCTATACAAAGGGATTTCCCAGCACTAGGGCCACTGGTTAAGAAAAATGGTAAATTTCAAAGAATTGTATTAAAATTAAAAGGGTAATATAATACTTTAGGAACATACTTTGAGGGGAAAAAAAGTTTAAATCAAAGTCTTTAACATATTTAGCACTCTTGGAGAAGTCCGTAAGGGTTCTCAGCCTTTAACCAGAACAAAAAGATAATGGGCACAGTTTAGGGCACCTCTGAATTGCTGATTGACATGAAATCTAAACCTAATCTGTCTGGTTGCAAACATTGGAAAAGTTGATACTATAACAATAGTTTTAACATTTGTCATCATAACCAAATGCAGAAGAATCCCACAACAAGAACTCGAGCGTCCACTTGAGACAAACAACCACTGGTACGTGGTCAATAATAATTTTCATTATGATGTAATGGGTCAGAAATGCTTCTGGCAGAGTCCATCAGACATAAGAAGTACTCACCAGTTCTTCTTGTCTTTGTGGACGATGTTGACAAGGACATGCTCTCCTCCTCGTGCCATCTGCTCACCAGCTGAGTCTCGACAAGTCAGCGTGAAATGGCCCTTCTGGCCCGCACTGCCCCAACGCAGATCTGTGACCACAAGAGGGGGTGGGAGGATAGTGGGCACCCAGCTGAACAGATATTAAATATACTCTGGTAAAAAGATGAACATACATTGCCTTTCAAAACAATCTGTTTGAAGTTAAGGAAAAGTAAATAAAAACTATAGCCCGGCTGATATATTGGTATGGCCGAGCTTCAGCACGCAGGCAGGTAAAACACAGACATATGGCAAACAGACATACGTGGTTACGCCCAGAGCCGTATAGAGCTGCCGTATAGTTGTATCTCTATGGTGCTAGTTAAACCCCCAGATGGGGTTCACGTGTATCTGTGTTGTGTGAACTATTGCAGCACGTGTCGTCGAATCGCTTCAATTTACAAGCGGAAAGTTGCTCCGTGTTTGTCTGTAAGAAAAGTGGACCGCAGCCATCCTCTTCTCAGTATTTAAATCAGCCTGTGGGTATTAGAGCCTGAACGGCCTAATTTAAGGTCGTTTTCACACCAGATAGTCCGGTAGACTCGGTTCGGTTCGGGACCAATATTCATCACATTTTGTTTACATATGAGCTGGTGCGTTTGCATTCACACTGCACTGTGCAGTCGAGTCAACCTGTTGAACCAACCTGTTCCCCTGCTCGCCTGTGGGGGCGCTGCACCAAGAACTACTGAAAGAAACGACACAAAAACCTCTGAAGACACGTCTTCTTCTTCTTCTGTAAATAAAAATAAAAACTAAGTGGCATCAAGTTTTAGCAGTTTTAGGAGTTATATTTTGTCATTTTTCAAAAATGGACTTAGCATGAGCAGAAGATGAGACAGAAGATCATGGAGAATATTGTTTTTCACACAAGGCAGCTGACGGCTCCATATAAGGTCAGAGAAATGCGTGTTTGTTTACCCTGCGGACTAAACAGGGCTAGTGTGAATGCACCCTAACATCTCCACGACCGGACTTCTATTCATCCGAGAACTGCGAGGACGGAGCTGTGTCTGGGATTTCAGCTGGTAAGTTTATGTTTGTTAACGTTACTGTAGCTTTGTGGCTGCTGCTTAATACATGCATCACATACAATTTTCTTAGACCTGTCTAAAGCTTTTGACACTGTGGATCATAACATCTTGTGACATAAGCTCTCAGAAATTGGTTTCTCAGAACACACTATTGGTTGGTTCTCTAACTATCTTTCAGATCGGAGGTAATGTGTTCAACATAATGGTACTTCCTCCAGTTATTTAATGCCCCTTTTCCACTGTCACGGTGTGGGTTGAATATTTCCGGCTCGACCCGTGTTTGAGGTCTTTTCCATAGTACTTGGGACCAGCTCAACTTCCAAAATTCTGGCCCAGCTTCTCAAGGGGCCCAAGCAGCCCGAGACGTGACGTAAGAAACACCGTCGGTCACTGATTGGTCGGGGAAAGGAGTCTATGGAGTAGGGGTTTAATGATTACATAATTTTTAAACTCGACATTAACATAATAAATATGGAACAAAACAGTTCTGCTTGTGATTAGATGATCTCTTTGGTATGCTCCCTCCTCCATTGCCATTGTTCCACTTTGGAGTAAGCTGTTGGAGGAAGAATCAGTTTTGTTGTGTGTTTCCTTGACTGATGAAGACTTCCGGATCGAAGGCGAAACGTTTCAGCACAAAAAAAAAGAGTGTCCAGATGACCTGACTGAAAAATGTTGGATTTTATACCTGAATTATTGAGCAGGGACTTTGTTGTTTTCAACCAGTTTGACAAGACTGTCAACAAGGAAGAGGGCCGGCAATGCATGAGGGGCATACCAAAGAGACCATTTAATCACAAGCAGAACTGGTTTGTTCCACTTTGGAGTAAGCTGTTGGAGGAAGAATCAGTTTTGTTGTGTGTTTCGATTATGGGGGCTAATTGTCACACTGTTAACTCCTGTAATTACACATCAGTCACGAAAAATGCAAGAAAAAATCTGTTAATAATGTTGTTACTGCTCTCAGGGATTAAGCCCAACCCTGGATTCTCCCCCCCCCCCCCCCATTATTTATATGACACCAAATGACTTTAAGAACATGTCTGGGCTTCATTTCCTGCATGTAAACGCTCGTAGTCTTCTGAAAAAACTTGATGCCTTGAAAATTCTGGTCAGTTCTTCTGGGGCAGATGTAATCTTGATCTCTGAAACCTGGCTCAACAAATCTTTAATAAATAATGACCTGGCAATCAATGGATTTAACATCTACCGCTGTGATCGTCAAAAAAAAAAAAAGGGGGGGGGGGGGGGGAGTGGCTGTTTACATCAGATTCTCTGGTTGCTAGTCTTGTGTCTTCTAAAACAATTCCTAACCAAATTGATGCCTTAGTTGTAAACATCACTTTGAATGGAGGCCAGATTTGATCTGTAGTCTGTTGTTATTGTCCACCTTCAGCAGCACCTAAGGCTCTGTTCTCCCTGATGGAATTCCTTGGTAATTTAAAATTCAAAGAGATCTTTTTGGCAGGAGATTTAAACATCGACTTGGGTAAGTTGACCCCCCCTCTGTGATAAATTCAAGGAATATTGCCTGTCTCTCAATCTAACCCAATTGATCAACTCTCCGACAAAATTAAACAAAAACCGTCCTGAAAAATCTTCCATCTTAGACCTGTTTCTAACAAATACGCCTCACAAATTCCCTGGTACAGGTATATTCGCCAGTATTTTGAGTGATCATTGAGTGACAGCGACTTTGAGAGATATTAAACTTCCACCTTCTAAGCCCAGATTAATTCAAAAAAGGGATCTGAAATGTTTTTGTGAACAGTCATTCCTCTGGGATCTGTCTCACTTTGACTGGCATCGTATTCTATTAATTGACGACGTGAACTCCACTGGGAACTATTTTCATAATAGTTTCATTTATTTTGTGAACAAACATGCTCCTTTTCGTCAGTTCAGAATAAAGGGACGAGGCAGCCCCTGGTTTACTCCAGAGCTAGCTGACCTCCTGCACAGAAGAGATCATCTTTGGGCCACAGCGAGAAAATCTGGCTCAGATACTGATTGGTTGAGTTTTTGACAGATGAGGAATAAATGTACAACTGCTGTCAAAGCAGCAAAACGCAACTATTTCTTATCTCAGACCTCCAAAAATCTAAATGACACCAACAGATTCTGGAAAACCATCAAATCTCTCTCAGGCACCCCCCAATCATCTGACCTCCCATCACAACTTCTCGTTAACTCTGGTCCTGTGTCAAATCAGCACGAGATCCTGAACTGTTTCAACAAACATTTTGTTGCTTCTAGTTCTTTATTTGACACAGTTACCAATGGAAAATCAGCCACTTCACTTAATAACCAAACTTCTACAAATCAAATCCCTCCTACAAGTCAATCCTCAGTTAATCACAGCTTCTCTTTTTCTCCATTCTCAGTCAGTGAGGTCAATAAACTGTTAAAAGATCTTGATCCTAAAAAATCTGTAGGACCAGATGAACTTCCACCTTATTTCTTAAGGCTGGCTGCTCATATCATCACAGTCCCTGTGACCCACATCTTCAATCTCTCCATAAGACAAAACTCCATCCAGACACTTGGAAAACAGCCTTTGTTCTTCCTTTGCTGAAGGGAGGTGACCCCACCTTACTGAACAACTATCGACCAATCTCTAAACTCTGCATTTTAGCCAAGGTTCTAGAAAAACTGATAAACTCTCAAATCAAAAATTACCTGGACTCATTTAACATCTTACCTCCACATCAATCTGGTTTCAGGAAACAACACAGCACAACCACTGCTTCACTGAAGGTTCTTAATGATGTTTTTGAAGCACTGGATGCTAAGGATTATTGTGCTGCACTTTTCTTAGACCTGTCTAAAGATTTTGACACTGTGGATCATAACATCTTGTGTCATAAACTCTCAGAAATCAATTTCTCAGATCACACCATTGGTTGGTTCTCTAACCATCTCTCAGACCGGAGGCAATGTGTTCAACATAATGGTATTTCCTCCAGTTATTTAACAGTCAACAATGGTGTACCACAAGGCTCAGTCTTAGGACCCACCCTTTTTACAAACTACATACATAATGTAGGTAAAAACATCCCTAATGCATCCATACATTTCTATGCTGATGACACAGTTGTTTATTGTTGAGCTAAAACTGTTGCTAAGGCTTTCCAGCTTTTGAAATCTGCATTCAACAACATCCAGACAGATTTGTTTCACCTCAAACTTGTCCTAAATGCCAACAAAACCAAAGGGATGCTTTTTTCAAATAGGAAGTTGGTCCCAGCAGTTCTTTCTTCAATTTTATCCTCAAATGGTGTCCCCATTGAGTTTGTTGATTCCTATAAAAATTTGGGTATCTTGGTCGACTCACATCTCTCTTTTAAGCTCCATGTGGAAAACTTTGTAATGAAACTGAAAGTTATGCCCCTTTTCCACTGTCATAGTGCGGATCAGGTCAGTTTGGGTTGGTTCAGCTCGGCTCGGGTCTCGTTGTGTTTCCATGTACATTTCTGGACCAGCTCTGTAGGCGGGGACTAGAATTCAACTCGTCTTACCACCTGGTGGCAGTAGTGCTCCCTTAAGCTACTTACTAGCCACCACTAAATGTATTAGAAGAACACCCTGAAGACTTTGTCACACGATGTTGTGGAAGAGATGTCATGCTCTAATGGAGTACCTCATGAGCTGTAACTTTTAAACCTGATTCATAATCTTACCTTACTGCCGTCCCTGCTGCTTTAAACCCATGTGTTTTACATTTTAGTATAGATTTTTACAATAAAGATGTATTAAAAATATCTTCACTTTTATTATTTGCAGATATGCACAAAGTTCATGTTAAAATTGCAAAACATCACACTGTGCTGGAATCTTTGAAACTGCTTTTACAAGAAGATACAGACTTGAAAACAATTAGATTAAATTTGGTTCTTAAATTTTAAAGGTTTGTCTTTCATTAAATTTAAAAACATAAATGTTATACTTAGTAATCTAAAAAAGTTAAGTCTGGTCCTCTGGACATTCAAAAAATAAAACAAACAAACAAAAAACAT